AGACTATCCTATGTGTGGCATAATGTGTGAGAATCCCTCAGGATCCTTCATACTTCAGTAGTATCATGTATACTGTCTTCTCCTTCAGTTATATTCCATTTACATGAATCTTCTCTGGCACTTTTAGTTCCATAGAAGGCCTATGACTTTTGTTTACCTTTTAAAAGACAAGTCATAGTTTCACTAGTTTATGCTACTGTTTATATACTCTCCACTCCACTCATTTTTTTTTCTCTCAGATTTCACTATAGGGCCAAAAAGCCTATAGAGTAGCATTGCTGATTAACAATGATATAGAATCATCAACAAAATGCTACCAAATCCAATGTAACAGCATATTCAAAGAAATATATACCATGACTGAGTGGAATGTATACTTGGAGTGCAAAGATGGTTCAACCCAATAATAATATAATATCACACTGACAGTAAGAGTTATGAATCACAACATTAATTTCAAATTATGCAAAAAAATCATTGAATTATGTGCAATATCCTTTTATGATTAAAAACCTCTCAAAATTACATAGAAAAAGACTGTACCTCAACTAATGACAAACCTGAGGTAACATCATAGTTAATGCGGAAACAGTTTTTAACTGTGAATTGAAATAAGTTATGGATGCTCACTCTCACTAAAGTCTTCAACTAAAATAATACAGAACTGCTATACAGGCCACTTAGGCAAGAGACACAAATAAAAGACATCAAAATCAGAAATAATGAACTAAAATTATTGGTGTTAATAGGTAATATGTTGAATATATATGTTGTATAGTTAGAAATATACATATATAAATACTCCATAAAAATAATCAATATACTATTAGGATTAATAGACTTGGTATTGTGGAAGATACAAAATCAACATTCAAAACTCATTTGCAATTTGTGTACTAATAATGAACTATGATGAAGAGAAAATTAGAAAAGAATTCTCATTATAATACCAGGAAAATATACTTATAAATCATTATAAACAAGAATATAAAATACCTGTGCACAAATCTGTAAAATAGTGGTAAACATAGTTGAAGAAGACACAAACAAATGAAAAGATAATCTATGTTCATGGATAGTAAAAACTATTTGTTATATTGCCCAAAGTAATCATATAATTCAATTTAATGTCTATACAAATTTGTATAGCACTCTTTACAGAAAGAGAAAAACCTATCCTTCAAAACACATGGAGCCATAAGTAACCTTACATAAGAAAGATACTTTCCCTCAGGGCCCCTCTTTATTATAATTTCTAGTGTATGTTCATGTACAAAATGTTTGGCTTTGTTAAGTCTCTGTACATGGGTTTCTTACACTTTGCTTATAGTCAACACCAATTGTTCTCTCTCTCTGTGTCTCTGTCTCTGTGTGTCTCTGTCTCTCTCTCTCTCTCTGTCTCTCTCTCTCTCTCAATCTGTTCTTCTACTATCACTGGTCCCCTTCTTCCTCTCAAATATTCTCCTATTCTACTCCCATGTCATAATCAAGTATATAAACAAAAATATAGAGAAAGAAAGAGAGAAAGATTCCACAAGTGAAACAATATTAGTCTTTTTTAAAATTATAGAATTGGTAGTATGTCAAGCTGAAAATAAGAATCAGAAAAATTCAAAGAAGTGATATTAAGTAGTTTACATATTTTTTCCTGTAGACACATCGAGGAAAATTGCTTAAATGATCTCCATTACCTTGCAAAACTAAGCATAATTCTAAGGAAATGACGTGTAAGAATGAGGATGAAAATATTTAATAAATCTATGCAAGTGTTGTAAATCAGAATAAGTGCCTTCACAAGCAAGTAGAATGATCATAGTAGTATCTATTTGCTAAGCATTGCCTGTTTTATAGCAGAGAGGAAAGTAAAAGTAAAAATCAAAATTCAGCTTAAACACTTGACACTTCATGAATCAGGGCCTGAGAGCATCACCATTGCTATGGTTGTATTTACTGTTATAGTAAGTGACTGTTGAATTGGTTGGTTTGCCATAGCCTTTGTAACATATTCTCACCATCACTTTTGTTAAGAAGTGGTCTATGAGATAATAATGTACATTAAAATTAACTAGATATATAAAAAATAAATAAATAAAAGGCATTTCATTGAGGTGGCTTGCTTACAGTTTCAGAGGTTCAGTCTATTATCATCAGGATGGGAAGCATTGCAGCACACAGGTATATGTGGTGCTAGAGCTGAGAGTCCTACATCTTGACTCAGGCAACAGGAGGTGGACTGAATGTCACACTGAGGGAAGATGAGAAGACTGGCCCCACAGTGACACACTTCTTTCAACAAGGCCACACCTCCTAATAGTGCCACTCCCTTTGGGGGCCATTTTCTTTCAAATTATCAGAGAAGGCAACTCTGGTTGGCCTGGAACATACTATGCAAAACATGCTCACCTCAAACCCACACAGTTCTGTCTGCCTCTGCCTCCTGAGTGCTAGGATTAAAGCATTTCACCACCATGTCCAGCTTCTCTCTCCAGCATTTTATGCTATGCAGTCATTGAAGTCTTAGCCAAAGCAAAAGGACAAGAGATGAAATACAAGGGATGCAAATAGGAAAGCAAGAAGCCAAAGTTTCCTTCCTTGAAGAAGACACACTTCTGTTGTGGAATATTATTTTTGTATGCGTTACATTTATTTATGGTGGAGAACATTTGTTTTAATGTTGCAAAGTTGTGTTGCATAATTTTATGTTGCAGTTGCTTAACCCTGTGAAGCTGTGTTACTATGCCTGTCTAAAACACCTGATTGGTCTAATAAAGTGCTGAGGGGCCAGTAGCTAGGCAGGAGAAAGGATAGACAGGGCTGGCAGAGAGAGAGGATAAAAAGGAGAAGAAATCTGGGAAGAAAAAAAAAACAAGAAGCAAGAAAAGGAGGAGAGGAGAACTCAAGGGGCCAGCCACCCAGCTATGCATCAAGCCATGGAGTAAGAAGTAAAGAAAGAAATACAGAAACAGAGAAAGACAAAAGACCAGAAGCAAACGGTACATGGGATATTTAAAGTTACTAAAAGCTAGCTAGAAAGAAGCCAAGCTAAGGTTTGGCCGTTCATAAGTAAGCATAAGACCCTTTGGAAGTCTTATTTGGAAGCAAGGTGGCACGTCACCCAAATAGTAAAAGAAGAAAAAGGAAATCACTAAGACACTTTTGTATTTGAGATCCTAAACACTCCATAGAAAATGGTTTTCAAAATGGCAGAATGCAAAATTAACACAAAACTCATTTGCTTCCCTAAATACAAAAAACACATTTGCTGAGAAAAATATTAAGAAAACATCAATAGGGGCTGGAGCGAGGGATCAGCATTCAAGAATACTGGATGCTCTTACACAGGACCTGGGTTCAATTCTCAGCACTCACATGGGAGCTTACAACTCTCTGTACCTGCAGGGGATCTGACACTCTTACATAGACATATATGTAGGCAAAATACCAGTGTACATAAAATAAAACATTAAAATATATTTTTTTAAAACCTTATTCACAATTGCCTCAGAAATATGGTGGAATAAACTTAATAAAAACTTGAAGGGCATCAGTGTTGAAAACTTAAAATAATGAAGAAATTAAGTATGTCATTAGAAGATGGGGAAATCGTCCATGCATTTAAATTGAAATATTCAATATTGTGAAAATGACTACATTAAAAAATTAATCTAGAGACTTAGAGTTGACTCCTACAGACATTTAATGATATTTTTTGTATAAAGAGAAGAAGAGAGTTGAAATTCATATGATAAACAAAATACCCTTGATGCGCATAGCAGTCTTGACAAAAAAAGAACAACGTTGGGCACATCACCATACCTGATTTCAGTAAAAAACGACAAACTGACCACAATACTGGCATAAACAAGCTTTTACATCAATGGCTTAGAATTGTTCAACAAACAAACAATTTTCTGCACACATGCAACTTTAAGAAATGATGGTTACTTGAACTTACAGGACTGCCTAACGTGATGTGATTGAGAAACAACTGCCAGCAATTCTCAGAACAAAATGTGAGTAGTGTCCACATTGGTAAAATATGCAGTTGTGCCTAGTAAAATTACTGAAAGAGGTACAGAGGTAAATATGATGTAATGATCAGAGAATAAAAAATTTAGACTTAAAAACATCAGACACCTACATATTTTACAGTAGCAGAGATGACCCAGTGTGTAGCCTCTCCATCCTAATTCTTAAACATTGACAGCTACCACAGGCAGCACCTGCCACTTTAGCAAGTGAGAAAGGGAGCAAGCAGTCACCAGTATAAGTAATGCCTTAGCTTTTTCAGAATGAAAACACAACATTTGAAATGCAGACATTTTTTTTTTTTACTTTGAAGACAGAGATAGATCTGGCCTTTGTAATCTCTAAAAGCCTGTAACTGTGCATGTGTTCAAGTGAGGGAAGGACAAAGGACACACCCAAGGTCTTCACGGTAGACAGATCTCATACATCTTCTCATCGCAGCTTGAGAGGAGTGGAATGAGCACATGCAGATATCTGAAACTTAACTAAATGGCTACATGGATACTCTCCCCCATGAGGAGTGCCACAAACATTAGTGACCCTCTATATGTACTAGGAGTCAGACTAATAGATGTGACATTAGCAGACTCTGGAAGAGACTTGAATACTCCTTGTGACTACTGAACTCATTGGAGTAGTCTGGAGTTTCTTGTCTTATGACACCGCTGGACACCTCACAATGGCACCTGTGAAAAGGGATGCTATCAATGATAGATAAAAGTAAAGAATGCTGCTTTTAACTTGGCTTTCAGCCTTGTAAATGGAGGCTAATTGGAAGAAAAATTGGTTAAGTCTCACTGTTTGAGAGTGGGGAAAAAGTGATTATGAAAAATCAAAATACATTTTGCATCAGTTCTTGGTGATAAGTTTGAGAGAAAAGGACAGAAGCTACCAGCCTTGCTCTGCCTATTCACATGCCTATCATGCATTATATATCATGACATTTACATGAAAAATGCAAACACACTTACGGCCCATCCAGAACAAGTCTGAAGTTCTTCTTTTTCTTGGGGTTCGGCACTCCACTAAGGAAAAATAAGCAACTTGTCACCACATCTTCATGCTTGTCTTCATTCATCTTCATTCTCCAAAAGCACTTGGGGTGAGTGAAACTGGACATGAGGAGGGGGATGTTCAGGAGCCCAAAGAAGAAGAAACTCAAAGGAAGGATTGGGTGCTGCCTCCAAATCACTAAGCCAGTAGTGTCGATTGTGGATGCAGACCAGTTTATCAAATGGATACCCATGTAGATACATCTGCTTTTATGTCTGCTGCCCAATAGAAAAGTCACTTATGTGGATGAGATGCTTTGTTCTCCAGATGGCTCCACTACCCTGGAGAAATGACAAGCAGTCTCTGTCCTAAGGCTCTGCAGTTGAGGTCTAGAGCAGAAGTAAAAACATGGGTTGGAAAATATATATGAAGACATCTTAGCCTCAGGTCCTATGACATCAACTCATATCCCTGGGTATTGAGGCCTATGGGAGAAAGCAATGTTGGGCAGATTGTTTCCAGGACAGTGTCAATGAGTTATTTGTTTGAACACCTTTAGAAATGATCTCAGCAGAGTATATCAGAAGATCAACAGTTAGATGTGAAGGTAAAGATTTGAAATGACCCATGACAATCAGAACTCATGTGGACATGCTGTGTGTTCTATTCCCAAGTGCAAATCAGAGAGCCTCACTCTCTTGTGTATGGCACCCATTATTCATAGAGCATGAGCAGTATGGCTCATGCTACACCAGTCACAGAGACCATATAACCAACCTGCTCTACATTGTGTGAAGTTCCAATAATCAGGTCAAATCTAGAAATTCCTTGTCTTATACTGTGTCCAGAAATGCCCATGCCATCATTCTCCATGAAAAAACTAAGATGAGTAATTGAGTTATGAAACATGAACTCCTTCTCTGAAGCCAGTTCCTTCTGTTGACCTATTATTTCTTCAACTTGATCCATCATTACCTACTTATTCTGCTTATCTTAGAACCCATCAGTGACTCCAAAGCAGCACTGTTTTTAGTAGCATAGAACCCATTAGTAACTGTACCTGGGAATAAAGCCTGTATTCAATGTGTAAACTGTTCTTATTCCATTTCATGCTCAGATATTTTTCGTTGCATTCTAGAATATGTATTGCCAGTCAGAGAGCTCATTGATGAGTGTGGACTGAGGAAACACCTTTACATGATACAGACTATGGAGCATGCAGCACAAACAAAGAGCAATTAATTGGTGTGGAGGATGGTAGATGTTATTTAGTATTGGAGATGAGGTACACAGGGCTGGTGTTCTCTGGATCTTGTGGAATATTTAAAAATCAACATTTAACACATGCATATGGCCCCCTGGTTCTGTGATGAGCTGCCTAAGACTGTCTAAGATGTGAATATAGACAGATGTGATGGGATTAGACATTCATATAAAAATGAGAAAGTTTGTGTTTCAAAATTGACTATTGATGACAGCAATCAGGATTAATGCTTTCTTTCTCCTAATTATTGTTAGTTTTTAAATTAGTGCATAACATAACAGGATTTAGAGTGGTGTTTTCGTATGTGTGTACCAGTGTACTTTACTGGTGATTGCTCCTTTATTAGCCCCATTTGTCATTCATTTTACTATTGATTTTCTTACTCAGCAAAAGTAGCTGCCTTCTGAGTTCATGGCATATGTATGTATGTGTTTCATATGAGAGAATATGTGGTAAATTTTCTCAATAGAGTGTTACTCAACTGTTTAAAAAATAACATCATCAGCTGGGCAATGGTGGTGCATGACTTTAATCCCAGCACTCAGGAGACAGAGGCAGAGGGATCTCTGTGAGTTCGTGAACAGCTTGGTCTACAGAGCAAGTTCCAGGGCAACCAGAGATACACAGAAAGACCCTGTCTCAAAAAACAAAATGAAACAAAAGGACATCCACTGAAAGAGATCAAGCTTCTCTCTTCACCCCACCTTATCACTTCCTCTCTCTGCCCACCTTTATTACTTCCTGTCTGTATGTACAGATCTCCAAACCTCTATGGTTAACTAGTGGCTAGCTCCTCTTTCTGATTTTCAGGCAGCTTTATTTGTTAGAGAACAAATAAAATATTAGCACATTTCCCCATTTTGTTTTAAAACAAAAAATATTTATAACTAATATAAAAAACTATATATAGTAAGTACAATAACTATATACAATATACATAGGCAATAAATATAACCAACAATGTCTAGTCTATTTGTATTTGACAAATTCAGAGAAAACATTCCATTATCTATCCTATCTTTGTGAATTAAAAGGATTGTATCTAATTCACCTTCTATCCTAATCTACATTATCAACCCAAACCAATCTTTTGATGTATTTCAAACTTCGACAGTTTACACTGCTTGGTGAGTTTCTTTTATGAATGTGTTAACAAAGAAAACTATATAACTACCTAATCTTCAACTCCCTCAGAGACCCAAGAAGGAAATAACATTAACTAAGTAAACAGGATGTGCAAAAAAGCAACTTGCAGAAATTGTGAGAAATGACAGAAAGAGCTGGCTACCTGGAGAGTCACCCAAGATTTCTCTGCAACATTGGGGCAACCATGCTTGTCCTAAAGATCTAGCATATCATCTGTGAAACAGGATTTTCTGAAGGGCCTTCCTACTTGTCTTGGCAAAGACTGGCAGTCCTTTCTTTCGTGTCCTGCTTGTCCATTTTGGACAACACACTGTCAACAGTTGAAGCAAGGGCATTTTCTTGTCCAGTGACTAACATTTGCCACACAAAAAGTAAACTCCATATGAAGTTTCTTCAATGTTGTTCATCTTCTCTGAAATAAGTTGGTGCTGACAGGAGCAGACATGTTTCATTGTCATTAAAAAAGAGAAAAATCTTTATAATTAAAACATCTTAAATGTTGCATTCTGTAGATCTCTGAAGTGTTTGAAGATGGCCCTTCTATCTAAAATATGTTTCTGCTTGATCTTGAAAACATACCTAATATGACTACAAGTTCTAATTGTAATGATTAACTACTAACCTGCATTTCTTTATTATCCTAAATAGTTGGCAATAACTTTCAAGGACTAGAAAATTGTGTTACATTGTTAAATAAACTATGTGGTGATATTTTATTTGTGCTGAACTGTGGTTATATTTTATTTGTATGTTAATAAATAAAATTTGTCTGGAGATCAGAGGACATAGATAGCCAGCCATAAACAAAAGTCAGGTGGTGGTAGCACATGCCCTTAATCCAATCACATGGAAGGCAGAGTCTCTGTGCATTCAAGGACACAGACAATCATCACGACACATGTCTTTAATCCCATAGAAACCTGGAGGTCTGTACAAACAGGCAGTGATGAGGAAGTGAGGTGGCTGGGCTAAAAGCCAATGAGAAAGCAGAACAGCAAGGCAGTAAAGGTGCAGTTTAGACAGGAAGAGTTAGTTCTCTTGGTGAGCTAAGGTTAGGTGGTGACTACTTCTATTTCTCTGATCTCTATGACTTTCACCCCTGTATTTGGCTCTGTGTTTCTTATCTATAAGACTATTTAGAATTTTGTCTACAAAACTCTACAGGTATAATACCTTGAACAAGATGAGAAATATATGCACAGTATTTTCTAACAAAATCAATCTCAAATTTGTATCAATATACAAAATTTGTATACAATATATAAAAATCCAATCCAATGTAAAATATTTAAAACTAGTAGTTGCTTTCAAAAAGTAGATTCAATAAACTATCTTTTTATCTTATCATATCCATATACTCTCTTTTTTGTTTTTCAGAATAGATTCAATTATCTACCCTTTATCTTATATCTAAATCCTCTGTTTTTCTTTTCAGAGTAGATTCAATAATTACCTTTTATCAAACACACACACACATCCACATATCCTTTATCTTTTTCTTTTGTAAACAAGAACCCTAAATCTAATCTCCTTTGTTTAGTTTTTTTTTTACTGACCAATAACAATAATAACTTGTAACCAGCTATCCTAGACAATGACAATTATCCATAATCCATTAAATGACCAAAAACCACCAAGCCCACCTTTGGGGAATGTGTGCATTATGCTCCTAAAATTACATCCTGCTGTCTGGGGGTGAAGGCATCTTTATGGGATCCTGCAAAGCAAAATTTTGGATCAATTGTCAAGTCCTGGGAGAGGTAGCTATATCATTTCTTGTCTAGTCTCTGCATAATGGGAAAATGCAGGGCTCGACTCAAGACCTTGCTCGAGTAGTCTGTGAGGCTGGATCATCACAGCTAGCCATCTCCAAATTGTTCTGAGTAGTTTGTAGTCTATAATCTGCTGTGGGATGTTCTGTATGGCAAATGTGTTGCTCTGATTGGTCAATGAATAAAGCAGATTGGCCAGTGGCTGGGCAGGAAGTGTGGGTGGGACTGGCAGGGAGGAGAAAAGAAAGAACAGGTAGGCAGAAGGAGTTATTGCCAGCCACCACCAGGACAAGCAGCATGTAAAGATGCCAGTAAGCCACGAGCCACGTGGCAAGGTATAGATTTATAGAAATGGGTTAATTTAAGATATAAGAACAGTTAGTAAGAAGCTTGCCACGGCCATTCAGTTTGTAAGCAATATAAGTCTCTGAGTTTACTTGGTTGGGTCTGAGAGGCTGTGGGACTGGCGGGTGACAAAGATTTGTCCTGACTGTGGGCCAGGCAGGAAAACTCTAGCTACAATAATTCATCTTTGGGTGGCATTTGTCATCTTCATGGTATTATCATCATTCTGATGGAATCATCATTGTGGGGCCCCATCATCTTTTTGAGACTTCAGATTTGGAATTAAGTGTAGACATGGTACCCTGTAGAAAACTGATAGGGACTTGCTGTGGGATGTTCTGTATGGCAAATGTGTTGCTCTGATTGGTTAGTAAATAAAACACTGATTGGCCAGTAGTCAGGCAGGAGGAAGTATAGACAAAACAAGGAGAAGAATTCTGGGAAGTGAAAGGCTGAGTCAGAGACACTGCCAGCCACCACCATGACAAGCCGCATGTGAAGATGCCGGTAAGCCATGAGCCACGTGGCAAAGTATGGGTTAATTTAAGATATAAGAACAGTTAG